CCCACAAAAAAAACCCAAAACAAAAAACCCCAACCAAACAATAAAAATAAAAATCAAACAAAAAATCCCACAAAAAAAACCAAAAACCAACCAAACAAACAAAACAAAGCAACAACAACAACAAAAAACCCACAAAAAACCCCAAATAAATAAACAAATAAAAAAACCACAACAAAACGCCCAAAATCCAAGGAAGTTGGTGGGACTCCAAGGGCAGCTCGTGAATGTAACTTTATTTTTGCACAAGGATTTGTGGTGGCCACGTGAGGGATGCATTTAAGGATTTTAAATAAGTTGGGATTCTTCCCTGCTCTGGAAATGATCAGGGGTGTCAAGACAAGGGTGGAATTCCAGCTTTGTTTTATTCCAGCATAAATCCAGAGGGAGAATCTGACACTGAGATACGTAGAAAAATATTAATTATAGAAAAGCGAGCTTGGACTGACTCCCATCCCTCAGATTTCTCCTGTTTTTCCAGGTTTTTCCTATGCAATAACGCACAAAAAACCAGCAAAAACCAAGCCGGGTCAGCAGCAAATCCTGACTCAACCAAGCCCCGCTCAAACCTCAGGTTTTGCTTTGGGATTTTGCTCCACGCCATCGATTTTCCTGATTCCAGCCTGGAATTCCTTGCAGCCTCTCCTGACATGGATCCAAGCATGAAATCTCTTTTTATTGTTCTTTTTTTAATCCCTGCTGCCCGCATTTCTTCGGGAAAGGACTCCCGAGATGTTCCTCGGGAGTTTCCCGGCCCCAGGAGCCATAGGAATCTGTACTGTACATTTATTTTTCAGGTTTTTTTTTTCTTTTGGGAGGTGGGGAGGGAGGAGGGAAAAATCAACGTGGCATTTGTAAATAAGCACAGGCGTCTTCCACGCACAGAGCAGAGCGCTTCCTATAGGAATTCCTATGCCAGAGGAATAAATAAATTAATAAATAATAAATGAAATAAATAAATAAATTAAATATTTATGATAATTTTCGCAGTGTGGGTTTTATGGCCGTTTGCAGCTGAGGGGTTTTGCTCCCTCTTTTTCTTGGCTGGTTTTTCAACGCCAACCTCAAAATTCACCCTTCAAAAATAAGCCTGAAATGCAAATTCCCGATGTTTGGGGATGGGATGGATGCGGGGAAGCCCAAACCAACCCCACAGAAATTCCTGGGATGTCAGGAAAACTCCCAGGCAAAGGCTCAGATGGGGAAAAAAATCCCAACAGGTTAATTTGAGTGATTAATTATTGGGCTCCATCCTAACGAGCATCGCTGGGATCCATCATTTCCCTGGAGGATTTTCTTCCCTGATCCATCGTCTCAAGGGTGCTCCCCCTTCCCAGCAGGATTTGGGGAACGTCCCTGCTCTCCTCGGGGAGGGATCCAGGAATTGCAGGGAGAGATCCAGGAAAGGATCCAGGAGCACCAGGGAGGGACCCAGGAACATCAAGAAGGGATCCAGGAATTGCAGAGAGGGATCCAGGAATATCAAGGATCCAGGAATAGCAGGAAGGGATCCAGGAGCATCAGGAAAGGATCCAGGGGAATAGAGAGGGATCCAGAATCACGAGGGAGGGATCCAGGAGCCCCAGGGAGGGATCCAGGGACATCAAGAAAGGATCCAGGAACATCAGGGAGGGATCCAGGAATAGCAGGGAGAGATCCAGGAAAGGATCCAGGTGCATCAAGAAGGGGTCCAGGAATTGCAGAGAGGGATCCAGCAATATCAAGGATCCAGGAATAGCAGGAAGGGATCCAGGAGCATCAGGGTGGGATCCAGGAACATCAGGGAGGGATCCAGGGACATCAGGGAGGGATCCAGGGAGATCAGGGAGAGATCCAGAAGCATGAGGGAGGGATCCAGGAGCATCAGGAAGGGATCCAGGGACATCACACAGGGATCCAGGAAGGGATCCAGAAGAATCAAGGAAGGATCCAGGAGCACCAGGGAGGGATCCAGGAACATCAAGGATTCAGGAATAGCAGGAAGGGATCCAGGGACATCAGGGAAGGATCCAGGAGCAACAGGGAAGGATCCAGGGAGATCAAGGAGAGATCCAGGAGAATAGAAAGGGATCCAGGAATAGCAGGAAAGGATCCAGGAGCATCAGGGAGAGATCCAGAAATTACAGAAGGAGATCCAGGGACACCAGGGAGGGATCCTGGAAGGGATCCAGGAGCATCAGGGAGGGATCCAGGAGCCCCAAAATGTTCCTCCTGGACTGAGGGAAAAGCTCAGTGCAAACCCCACCCTGCCAGGAGCAGAGCAGGACCAGGGCCCCCCTGCCACTGCCGCCTGTCCCCTGGGTGCGGAGAGCTCCCGGTGTGCGGAGGATTCCCGGTGTTCCCGGTGCACGGAGGATTCCCGGAGTGCAGAAAATTCCCGGTGTGCAGAGAGCTCCCGGTGTACGGAAGATTCCCGGTGTGCAGAGAACTCCCGGTGTACAGAGTACACCCGGTGCACCCAGAATTCCCGGTGTTCAGAGGATTCCCGGTGTACAGAGAATTCCCGGTGTACGGAGAATTCCCGGTGTTCAGAGAATTCCCGGTGTACAGAGAATTCCCGCTGTGCAGAGAATTCCCGGTGTACGGAGAATTCCCGGTGTTCGGAGAATTCCCGGTGTACGGAGAATTCCCGGTGTTCGGAGAATTCCCGGTGTACAGAGAATTCCCGGTGTGCAGAGAATTCCCGGTGTTCAGAGGATTCCCGGTGTACAGAGAATTCCCGGTGTACAGAGAATTCCCGGTGTACAGAGAATTCCCGGTGTTCGGAGAATTCCCGGTGTTCGGAGAATTCCCGGTGTACAGAGAATTCCCGGTGTTCAGAGAATTCCCGGTGTGCAGAGAATTCCCGGTGTTCAGAGGATTCCCGGTGTTCGGAGAATTCCCGGTGTACAGAGAATTCCCGGTGTACAGAGAATTCCCGGTGTTCGGAGAATCCGCTCGGAGCCGCCGGGGCGCGGCGGGGGCGGCGCCGAGGGTTTTGCAGCGCGGGCGGCGCTGGCGCTGCCGGGACCTCGTGGCGCAACGGTAGCGCGTCTGACTCCAGATCAGAAGGCTGCGTGTTCGAATCACGTCGGGGTCACGGCGGCCCCGCGGCCGCCTTTTTCCTTCGGGGGGCTCGGATTTTGGGGGGTTCCGATTTTGGGGGGTTCCGATTTTGGGGGGTTCCGATTTTGGGGGGTTTGGATTTTCGGGGGCTCGGATTTTGGGGAATTCGGATTTTGGGGTGAAGCGGCCCCCCCGTTGCCGGGGCTGCTCCTCGTGTCCTGCTTTGGGCCCCCTGAAAGAGGGCAGGGTGGGAGTGTATAATATAATCGAATAATTGTATTAATTTTTATATTTGTTATATTTATGTATTATATTGCATTATATTAAATGACATTATATAACATTGCGTTCTATTATAGTACATTATATTACATTATTGAATAATGTAGTGTACATTATATAAGTATATTACAGTATACATTATATTATATTATATTATATTATATTATATTATATTATATTACATTACATTACATTACATTACATTATATTACATTATATATTATAATACATTACATTACATTACATTATATATTATAATACATTACATTACATTATATTACAGTAATGTATAATGTACTATACATTTTATATGTATATTACTTTATACATTACAATATATTATATTATATTCGATTACATTATTATTGCATTAATGTATCATGTAATATACATTATATATTATATTAATCACATTATATTACCTTTATTGTATTATATTACATTACATTACATTACATTATTATTACATTCCTGTATAATATAATATATATTACATTAGATTACATTAGATTACACCAAGCTCTATAAAATCTCAGAAAATCACATAAAATCTGATTTTTACAGCAATTTTTTACCCCCAGCTGCTCAAATGGAACACAGACTCCTGTTCGATTTTCATCATCATTGCTAAATTCAAATTTTAAATTGCATTTTTAATTGAATTATTTTATTATATTAAAGTTTTAAAATTAATTTTTAAACTATTTTTATAGTTTATTATTTATTTAATTTTTGTTAATTATGTATATATTTTATATTTTAAATTATTTTTTAAATTTTCTTAGTTTTAAAATTATTTTATTTAAAGAATTAAAATTGTAATTAATTTTAAATTTTAATTTTAAATTATTTCTTTCCATTAAATAATGAAATTTTGTAATTAATTTCAGATTTTTATTCAATTATTACATTACATTAAATAATAAAAAATTTGGATTGATTTTTTCATTTAATTTTTAAATTATTTCTTTAAATTAAATAATTAAATATTTTAATTAATTCTTCTGTTTAATTAATTTTTTCATTTTTAAATTTCAATTTCATTCAATTTAATAAATTACATAATTAAATATTTAAATTCTTTTTTAATTGTAATTTTAAAATTATTTATTTATATAATTAAACGTTAAAATTAATTTCAAATTTAAATTTTTAATTATTTAATTAAAATCTTAAAAATTACATTTAAATTTAATTTTTAAAAATATATTTATTATAAAACCCACTAAAATCCACAGCTCAAAGCTGCTTCCACTCCACGAGCTCATTTTGGGTGGGTTTGGGTTTATTTTGGGGTGATTTTGGGATGGTTCTGGGATGGTTTTGGGGTGGTTTTTGGGGTGGTTTTTGAGGTGGTTTTGGGGTGATTTGGGGTGATTTGGAGTGTTTTTGGTATGGTTATTGGGGTGGTTTTGGGGACGCTTTGGGGATAGATTTTGGGGTGATTTTTGGATGTTTTGGGTGGTTTTTAGGATGGTTTGGGGGTATTTTTGGTGTGGTTTTTGAAATGGTTTGGTGGTGGTTTTGAGACGGATTTTTGGGGTGGTTTTGGGGTGGTTTTGGGGTGGTTTTGGGATGAATTTTTGGGGTGGTTTTGGGGTGGTT